TGAAACGAAACAGTGGGCCCCCCCCCCCCAATATTCTAACGTTTTCGATTCGTTTGCCAACAGAGCAGTAGCAACAGCGGCGTCATCGTATCCAACATCGACTCCATTCAATTGACCGACGACTCGGATACCGAGGCTTCCGACAGTCCGCCCTCGCCTTGCAATATCGCCTTCTGCAACGACAACGTACTCATCAACGGACGCAGTAACCTCTCGAGGACTCCACGGAACCACAAGGTAAGGCTCGCGCCGATATTATCCACATTCCCGAGCTCGGTCCCACGACGAGAATCCAGCCTCTATCGTCCGAACTGTAAATAATGACTAAGAAAAGGATCGCGCCGCCGTTGGAATTTCCCTCGCCTGACCTCGTGGAATATGTAGGCCCGGTCTGTCGCCTCGATCCAGCCTCTTAAGGTCGGCAAATATAACGACGAGATAATCGCGTGGCTTGCAACGGAGCCGGTTTACCGAATTTGGCAACCCGTGTGAGGCGCAATTTTTCCCCGAAAACGATCAAACGCCGCGCACCTCGCGAAAATTGCCAACCGGATACACGGGCTTGAATCGTGGGACACCGATACGTTGTCGGGGCTGAAACGACGACAGCGGTCTCTCGCTTTTGCAATTCTAGACTTCGAGCTATTTAATCGGGCGATTTGGAACATGACGCGAGCTTGATTATTGTTAAGGCGCGCTTTTGCGCGACGATGTACGAGGCGATCGAGAAACCGGACATGCTCCATCTGCAATGAGAGATCGGTCCATTAAGGAGAACCCCCCATTCCCGCCAATCCCCCTCCAAAACTCCTATACCTCTCCCCAATCACCTCCTCTTCTTAACTCAGAGATGCGCGCGCGCTCATAAGGGATCATCGTCTTCGTCGTTAGACGCCGGTCATTCGTCGTGCTCTCGTTATTCGCTTACCCGTTCAAATTGGCTCGATTCCTCTCGACGCCGCGGCTTTTCTCGCCCACGAGCGCACGCATTTCGGAGTCACCGATGCAGTTTCCAATTCCCGCGGTATTTCCGACGAGGCGAAACTAGGTGCCTCGCAAGTAACCCGAGGCGGGCAAGGGGAAGGGGCGAGAGAGCACGAATGGCGCGAGGGAGGGGTGGCAGCTACGTATACGGGCCGATTTCATTTCGTTCGGGTCGACACCGATTTTGTAACTGTCAATTTCATCGATCGAGAGTCTTGTGAAATCACGAGAAAGGCAATTTTCATTATAATGTGCCCCTTTTCTTTGCTACGCTGGCTTTGCTTCTTTTTTTCAATTTTCTTTTCCTTTTTTTTTACCCGTGTCTTCGTCTATTAAACAATTAATTCGAAACACTCTTTACGCGTGTAGAAAATATTTTGAAAGTCCGTCGTTCTTGAATTTCTATCGCGTTCCACTTGTTTTTCCATTTTATTTTGAGATTTTTTTTTTACTTTTGCTTTTTTTCTTTCATTTTTTCTTTTTAATCAATCGCTAGGCCACAAAAAAGTAGAAAACGAGCTGCCCGAGTCGGAGTGATTTATGTCGAAGCGATCGTATCGCTGGCCGCGTAGATGAAAACTGTCGTCAGCGTCACGTCGATCGAGCGAGTGCAATCGTCAACGGCATCGATTTCACGTAGAATCACCCCCCCCCTCTCTCTCTCTCTCTCTCACCCTCCCAATATCGTAATCTCAAATCAATAGGTAGATAGCGCTGGCTTTCGATTTCATCAGCGGATCGCCGTGTTGCAGTTGCCCGACAGAACCCGAGCGCCTTCTCTCCCCCGCGCCACGATGTAGCGCGAACAAAATTGTCAGGTGTCTCCTCCACCCCTGCCCCCCTCCGAGCCAAGGAATTGCCAACAGAATTGGCTATTCGAGCAAGAGACGGATTGGGATGGATTCGTTCCACCGTTCGCGATCGCTCCTAATCCAATAATAATCGACGACTCTCGATGACAATACTTTACAATGTTAATCGGTCGGCGCGTGCGCACGCATGGCCACCCATACCGATTAAAGGAACATAAGAGCGTGCGCGCGTAAAAGTAAAAGTCATCGGCCGTTTAAAGCGAGGAGGCGGTTGCTATGGAAATTCACAGCCCCGTTCGTTATCGTGCGTAATTGCTGGGAAAGTGCTCGCGGTCGGTCATTGCCAAGTACGTACGTATTATTCATACGTGTCGCGGTCGCATCGTGCTGACATGTTGATTGTTGATTCAGCGTTCGTCCTTGCGAGCTACGACTCGGTTTCGCTGGCATGATGTGCCCGACCGGTGCATCAAGGAAGCTTCTTCGTCTTCAAAATCATGCGACGATCCCCGATGTACGTGACGCGACTGTACCACGACTCGATTATCTATTATCGATTATCGATTATTTATTGAACAGGCATTTCCAAAAGAAACTCGCTAACTAGTTCATTTATTCTATGTAGAAAGGTAAAATCTACGTAATTTCTAAATTCGCTTTGTCGTACTAATCCTTATGATAATGCCCTTAATGAGAAACTTACGCGAATTAAAGTTTTCACAATGATGATAAAGTACGATGGTCATTGTAGATATTCGTGAGAACGGTGTCAGTATTAGCGATTGCCATGAGAATGTCGAATATCAATCTATAATCGTCAGTTTCGGGCAGCTCTTGCATCACCGCGTTATCGAAGACAGTTAAAGAAGAAGGGGAAAGATATATATATATATATATATATATATATATAAGGTATGCGGTGATTGGAGAAGACTATCAATTTTTCGCGACTATGAAATACATCTTCACGGAAAATGATGAAAAAGATGGGAGTCACCCTCATTAACGGCTTCTCGTGACGCGCGACGTTCCCCGTGGAATCCCTCCCCCGCTTGACGAACGTCTACCGCTCTCGTCTTCCTCACCTGCTCGAAATAATATTCGTTACCGTTATCGCATCAAGCGGCAACCGCTCAATCCTTAATTATCTCCGGCTCCTTGGACGCGCGTTACGTCCTGTCCATTCCCATCCGCATGGCCCTCCTCTCACCTTTATCGACCTTCCTCGGCGTACTCGGGCTCAATGGGTCGCGCTTACGTAAAGCTACTCGAAGAGGAATCTTGGCCGGAGGTAGGGAGGCAAAGAGGAAAAAGCGCTGATCAGCGGCGAGCTGCGCTGCTGTTGCTGCTGCTGCGTGGCGATTGTGCGCTAGATGTGACGTTGCAGAGGAAAGACGCTTAGGTAGTTTTGTTGTAGGCGATGCCGTAAAGCAAATCGTTGCCCTCTCCTCAGCCAACAGAAACAAAACGATAAACTCGTTGCTCTATCGGTTCGCCACATCGCTACTTTAGCCTACTAAGACTACCACAAGCGACTCGAGCTGCAAGGTGTTTGCTATCTCTCTCTCTCACACACACACACACACACACACACACACACACACAAACTCTCACTCTCATTCTTTCCCATCCCCCGTACTCCCTGTTTGTCGTCGTCGCGATTTCAACGACATCCGCCCACCGCGACGGGCTCTAACTACGTAATACGTGCTAGAGGAGGCTGCACTTTTCCATATGGTCGTGCGTGCCCCATTAAATAAGCCTCCCACGCACGTACTTTCGCTGCGACCTTCGCCAATGGCCGCGCATATTCACGGTAGGCAGAAGCGAAGTCGCGCTCGGTTGCCCTGGAATTTCGATCCGGACATGCCGAGGACTCGATTTGCCTTCGTGGCCTCGTGAGGGAAGGTGGGTGCGGGGATCGAAGGACGACAAAACGAGAAACAAAAAAAAAAACAAGAAAAAAAAGAGCAAACCCGAGACGTCCTATAGCGGCGGCCTTTTAACGGTCCCTCTGGCAAAGAAGGTCGACGCCGCTTAATCGAGCCGAGCGTCGTCGTCTCGGGCGTCTCGGCTGCAGACAGCTCGCAAAAACGAAAGGAAGCGGAGTCCGCGAGGAGATTAATGACACAATTGCAGCCATTGTCCATTCATCAAAACTGTATTTTTATGTTTCGTTACGCGCGCGTACAATGGTCCTGAAAAAGGAGCGTTTACCATCACCTTATCCATTCTCCTTTCTTCGTCTTCTTTCATTTCAACATTTCATTATTATTACTATTATTATTATTATCATTATTATTATTATTATTATGCTATTATTATTATTATTATTATTATTATTATTATTATTATTATTATTATTATTATTGTTATTATTATTATTATTATTATTACAATTGAACTTGATAGACTAATTTTAATTCTCTTTTTTGTTTAATAAGTGCGGGGCAATTAAGGTCGCAAAACGGGCGCGCAAAGTCCGTGAACTCGGGGCCGTCTCCGTGACAAAAGGACACGGCGAGAGGGGGGTTTTGTATGCACCGAAGCAGGAGGGGACTCATTTTCTTTTATTTTTCATTCCACAGCATCGGATCCAATTTGACGACACGGCCACGTGCACCTACGAATATCCGAGCGAGGCCTCGATGCTCGAGGTCGATGCCAGCGGCACCAGCAGCGACGATGGTGAAACTTCCGCTTCCGGCGACACCGGGGCCGCAGGGGCCGGAGGTGCCTCTTCTACCGCTCGCTCCACCGGTACTTTGCCCTCTCTACTCGGTAAGAACTCCCACGGGACACCATTTTTTCAGAGTATCTTTATCTCGGCTCGTCCGTTGCGGCTTGTGTTGCGACTCTGTCCTCGACCTCTTCCTCCTCGTCGTCATCGTCGTCGTCGTCGTTGACAGCGAGCGGCGAGCGGCGAGCGGCGAGCGGCGAGTGCTAGATACGAGTATCGGCCATTTGATTTTTAACTGTACCAAGTCAAGAGGAATTCTTCACTGGAACTTGGCCTGCAGATACTTTCTTAGGCAGAGCCGTCAGCCAGTTTATTTTCTTTTCAACGTTGCATAGATTTTTCTGTCGACGCGATGGGTTAAATTCCACCTCCCTCTTTGCTTTCTCTCTCCCGCTCTCCGGCCGTTCTGAATGAATGATTTTTCAAATTCACCGCACAAATAAATCCTAATCAATATCACCAACTATTAAAATTAAAAGTAAAAAAGTAGAATTAAAAGCTCACAAAACAATATGATAACCTTCGTTAAAATGGACTCGAGGAAAGTTATTAATTTATATATATGTCGTTATTTACAATAAATAGTTTCTTCTTAGGTCATGAAAACTTTGTCGCCACGATGCTTTTATAGCGCATCATTTATTTTCAATTCCATGCCTTTATACAGGTACAGTTTACTTTATCCGTACTTTTTTTCTTTTCTTTTTTATATTTTACAACTTAAGAATTTTAATATTGTAATGTCATATTATTGATAAACATTTGGTTTCATTTTTTATTTATTTATTTATTTTTTTGGTTTTTCAAATTAATTTTGCCAATAATACTTGTCACTGCTTTGATATTATGAAATATTACCAAATTGTATATATGTGAAATTTATGCGCATTATATCAAAGTTTTGTAAATACAGTATCGATGTATTGTGGTAAACATGAAAATAATCGGATTCTTACGAGCATTACGAAGAGATATCAATAATAATATGTGTGTTATTTAGATAACTGCGCGTCATTATCCAGCGTATTCGTTTGACGTTTAAAAATAACGATTTTTCTTAAAAGTATTTAAAATATTTAAAATAATTGGTCAATAAGCTCGTTTCAGTTTATAAATAATAATTAGATAGAAAGAAAGAAAAAAAAAATATATATATATATATGTGTGTGTGTGTGTGTGTAAATAACTATAGACTGTGATTCGAAAGTTTTATAATTTAATTTTGAGGAAACAGTCGCGTTATTTTAACCCGAAAATATGTAGTTTTAATTTTGACCCGAGGAAGTGAAATATTTGTTTCGCCAGTATTATAAAAAATTTTTATTAAAATTTCACATCCTCATTCGTATAATTTTCTTTCATTTAGTTTGTTTCAATGTTTTATTCACAAGTAGGTTTATATATTTACAGTGATTATAATGATTTTAGAAGAAAATTACTATAATTTGAATATTATATTTACAACGAATTACGTGATTATTTAGAGAATAAAGTCAATGATTAGTAGATAATTTACAATCATTAGAGTAAAATCTGCACTGGAATTCATAGAAGTAAAATATCAATTTTCAATATTCATATATTAATTAAAAAATTTGTGTGACTATGAGTGTGTGTAAAATTCTGTCCTCGAATTAACGGATTTATTATTTTTACAATATTATCATAGTAATATTGTTGTTCTTTTTTTTTTTTTTTTTAACATTTACTTATTGATGCGAGACAAGGATTAATAAAGCGTATTAAATTTTACCTTATAAAATTTACTCTAACGAATAACTTTGCATTAAAATTAATATCTATTTTACTAGGTAATATACTTATAAATACTTTCTTTTTTTTTTTTTTTAAGTAAAGATTTCAAGTCAGATTGACAATATCTTAAATGCTTCGTCGTACGATAAATAATAAAAATCATTGAAATAAAAAACGTAATTGTAAGAGATTTTTGGTCCAACGAACGTATTTACTGATACCGATACTGCAAACATATATGGTATGGTATGATATGGTTTTATGGTACATAAATACGCCGCGTGATTTTAGAAATATATTCGTAAATAATTTTTTTATTGTTAGCCCATTATTTTTAATTCTCATGTTCATATTACATTTGCATTGTCTGGCTCGATTATTTTTTCATATTTAATATAAATGGAATTAAAAACATATGAGCGACGGCACTGTGCTCGAATATGGTGTTTAATTTATAGGAACGTACGAAGAAGTAAATTGTTAAACTCGCAGGTAATCTTTCAAACTGATACTTGAGTATTTAAACGACGTCTCAATATGTAAAATATCAATTAAAATTATTTTAGGAATTGATTGAAAAAAAAAATAAAATAAAAAGAATATACAAGACTAATCCGAATACCGTTTCCAACATATAGGTGGAGGTGGTTTGGCAAGTTATACACCGAGTAAAGTCGACTTGGCGTCCGAGGGTTTCGAACTCGGTGTAACGCGAGCCAACACTTCTACATTGACTTCGTCACAATCAACGGCGATATTAACTCAGCAGCAGCAGCAGCAGCAGCAGCCAAATGTCAACGCGGTTGACTATTCGAAACCCTCCCAGGATACAGGCACTTGGGGGCAAGAAACGGCAGCGGACATACTATACTAAATATATACTCAACCACCCATTCTTCTATTCCTTCTCCATCTCTTGTCCACTTCGTCCTCCCCCCCCCCTCCTCGTCCACCACCTCTTTTTTCACACGGACAAACGCTGGATGCAACGACGAACTTTTCTCCTTCTCCGTTGTAGCCAGAGAAACTGTCACGCCCAGAGACAATTTTATTTATAACATTGCGTATGTAGAGCTAAATTGAAAAAAAAAAACAAAATAATACGACTGAGTGGACATAATCGAGACAACGTAGCGTCGCTTTAATGAGCGAGTGACAGGAATCGGTACGACTAAGCGACGACTGGAAGCAAACATTTGCGAAGTATAGACCCGTAGCATTCCATTATACAAGCATTTACTTACTAATTTAATGAATTCCTCGATTAAACTGCCAAACGCGAAAACTTGCGACAATTTGCTGTTTAGCAGCGAATTAGACAGGATTGTGAATTGAATTGCGTATCTTCCATTGTTCACGGTAATACGGTAACAGCGTTTATGGGAGTTGCGATTAAAAAATTAGGGTATAAAGAAAGCCGCTGTCGATCGATAAAGTTGTAAGCATTTTGAAATACTTTTTGAGATTAATTTAAGGTATGGATGATTTGAGCTATACAAATTTTCTACAATGCCAGCAATTAAGGATTTAAACAACGAGCGTATTAAGAAATTTGATAAAATTAATGTTGCTCCGAGAGGATAAAATGATGAATGAAAAAACAAGGAAACGAGAGGTGGTAATGGTTAACATTTTGTTAAATTTTTGCCGAAATGTGGCATAAGTTTACTTATAATATGTCTTGTATAGGTATTATGTATAATAAGCCGTCGTTTCTATGAAAAGAAAACAGTGTATGAGAAAAAACAGAAACAAAAGAAACAAGCAAATAAGCAAAGAAAAAATTGTAGATTTGTACATTTGATGAATTTTTCATGCTAATTGAGCATTTTTCACTCGTGTTAAGTGATGTTGATCGTCAGGATGAAAAAAAGAAATTTGTATACACTTATTTGTATTTTTTAGTTTTTGATACGTGCTCTTTTCCTGTCTGAACTCCAAGTATGAATTGGTATTCAATGATATTCAAATACGGACCGTCCACATTTACAATTTTAAAACGTAATGGTATTCCATGTAATCTTGGTCCACAACAATTAATTTTTAAAATTTTTGCTCCGATTTTTCGTAGCAATAATTTTAAAGGCAATCTGTTGAATTCAATAGTATTCCGATGTGAATGAGCTTAATTAAAGCGCCCAACGTGTTAGGTGTAATTGTTAATTTTAAGTATATTGAAAGTTGTACATACCATACATACTAAATTATTATTTTGCAATCCTTGAAGATTCGAAAACTCAGTACTCTATATATTTTCAGGACAATTAATTTTGTCATCAAGCCCTAAAATTTCCAGTTTTCAAGGAAAAATATCTCTTGCCTCTTTTCATTATATTCTGTTGTGTATTTTTTTTTTCTTTCTTTCTTTCTTTCTTTCTTTCTTTCAATTTTATTTCCTCCCTCTCACTCAACCACCCTCCCATTCAATTAAAAGAGACACATGCCATCAAATAATCCGCGAAAATGCACGTGCGCCATTAAATTAACAAGCGATGAACGTAATTTTAACTTATTACGAGATCATGGACTGATCATAATTGTAAGTACAGTATTGAAAAGTTCTTATTCGTAATGGATTTTCATTGAAATATCCTTGTTTTGTATGCTCATTAATAATCATATTGGTCATTGTTGGGTTTCGTCACTAAGGTACAATGCCTTTCACCATGATGTTATATCACTAAACATTGTGATACACAGTTTTTCCTTTATTTAATGTGTAGTAGTGATAGTTTGTGTCATGGCATTAGTGTCTCCTATTGTGATAATCACGTTGGTTTTTTCTTTCTTCTTATTTTTGATGGTAAAAGAGTGTGAGCTCTTGTGTGCGATTCATATTTTGAAATTAATATTAAGATATATACAATACTGCTCGATCTTTGACATTGCTTTCTCATAGAGACGAATAACAATAATTATAAATTTATTTAGGTATTTGTTAAATTTAAATTATTCTATTAGTTAGCATTTCAAATTGAAATTAAATTTCAATTAAAATTATTTATTTTTTATTCAGTGATATGACGAATTTATATGTTTAAGTGTATTTCATGGAATTAGGTAATCAAACGTATCAAATCTATCGATATAAATAGTAATGTTTATAAGAAACATTGTTTAAAATTTTTTTGTTCAAAGATCTCGATGTATGAAATGGAAATGTTTGTAATTTCTCTATGAAGAAGTGAACTTTAAAGTAAATTCATCACTTTTACAATTTCTTATTTTTACAAACTCTTATGTAAATTATTAAATCATTTCATTTAATAATATCATTCATTATTATTGTAGTTGTACTCATAATTGTCATATTTACCACTATTGCATCTCCCTTTATTATGTCATCATACCATTCGTTTATATATAAAAAAATTAGTATTACTCTTACTATATAATATAATAATAATTCATAAATTGTAATCATGCCAATAGCTTATAAAAACAAAATAAATAAATGAATAAACTGTATTTATATATACATTTTTTTTTCTTCTTTGCCAATTAACTCTATTTTAGAAGAACTTTTATAAGAATAATTTAATTTGGAATTTAAATTTTATCATTGACTTTTACATTTTTCAGTGCCACCACTAAACGGTTAGATAAATGGTAATAGCTAATACACGAACTTATGGTAATTTTTAAAAATAAGATTACGCACAGTGACCTGCTTTTTTTTTTTGTTTAATCAAGAAATTGCTTTTTATTTATAGTTAGACTGAAAATTATGGTGTAACAGTGAAAAATATAATATATACATATTTATATACAGGATCATGTAATACCAAATGAATTACTTATATATCGATGTGTAATATTCTTCTTCTAAATCGTAGAGATCGGCAGCCATGTCGTCCCGTAGCGAAGCTAACTTTTGATCACATTCTGCTTGCTTGGCTCTAAATAGTTTACTATTTTGTGTTATCGCCTCATTTACGGATGGAAAGTCGTTTAATATTAAATATTGCTTTATATCCGACACTAGTTTCATCAAAGATTCACCAGCTCTAACCATGTTTGCTGCTCGCACATGCATTTCATAAGTATCCTGTTCACATTGTGTCATTCGAGACAATTGCGTATCATTTTCACCTTTAGCTAATTTCAAAATCTCTGCAACATGAAAATGAAAAACGATCACAACAATCGTTAACAAATATAACATTAATCATCCATTGAGGTTATAAAATTACCTTCGAAATTCTCCAGCATTGACTTAACGTCATCTTTCAATCTCGTTGTATAAGACTTTAAAAGAGCCTCTTTACTTTGTGGAAGGGCCCGTTGAGCGGACATTTTCAGTCAATAATCAATCCCAATACATTAATGTTACGAAACATGTTGTAAGCTTCAAAACAACACCGGCTATTACAAAACTGGACATTTATCGGCAAAACACAAAAATCAAATGTACAGCGTCAATGTGAACAATAATACATTGGCATTCGATACTCGACGATGATTCGAGTTTCGATTGCTTGTATTAGAGGCGCTCGATTCAAATCTTAGGTAAATTGAGTATGACTGAGTATGTCGGATCGGGGGGCTGTGTGGAAGCGAGAGCTACTAAATTATAAATTATAATTCATAATTAGTCGTTACTAATTATTACCTCGTTTACTTTTGCATAATACACTTACTACTTATGTATTTGCATTGGTCAAATGTCTATACGTGAGCTATTCGTAATTCCACACTATATGTGCGTAGAACTGTGTAGTACAGAGTGTCATTTTTTGTTATGCAAAAGAGATTTAAAAATATATAGCATCAATTGTATATCACATACAATAATTTCAAAATAAACTCGAGTTTATTTGAACAGATCAATAAGGTAAACCTTTATAAGCCATTAGCGTCGTATCCAAGTCGAGAAGGATTTCTCCAATGGCGACTTATGATTGACTTTGGAGAAGTATTAATCAGTCACGTGATTACAATTATCCTGATGAATTGTCAGCTAAATTGCTCTCCCCCGAATTACCTGCGTCAAAGATTTGACGGAGCCTGCGCGGGCCAATGGTGGCAAGGCGCCCTAGTGAAAATAGAGTTCTTCAAAGCTCTCGCTGGACTTGGTGGGTGCGGACGAGGAGTGGAAGGGGCGGCCGGCCGTGGCGTAAGGGGACATTAGGCAAGGGACGTGCAGTCGTTGTTCGCGCGCGGGAATTACGAAAGTGAATTTGCGCTCGGGATCCGGGGGTAGCACTATCGATCAGGGGTGGGTCTAGGGTTGTTGGGTTGCTGCCCGGGCGGAGACGCGCACAGTCAGTCGTAGCTTCGATCGCGGCCCGCGCGTACACGAGACCACGCACGCGCCCGTGGTTATGCGGACGGGAATCCTCGATACTGGCCCACGATGATCCTCTTCCGGGGCCTCCTCGCTCTTGGCCTTATCATTGTCGTCAGCGCGTCACTTGCCGAGCGAGAGGACAATGTCCTACACATCGGAGGCATATTCCCGATCGCCGGCGAGGGCGGCTGGCAGGGCGGTCAGGTGAAAGCTCTTTTCTATTATTCTCTCGCGCGCTCTCCCACTCTCTCTAGCTCTCTCTCTCTCCCTCTCTGCCCACTCCCCTCTCACTGTGTCACAGTCTCTGCGTCTCTCTCTCTCTCTCTCTCTCTCTCTCTCTGTGTGTGTGTGCGCGCGCGCGCGCACGTGTGCGTATGTCTCTGTCTCTATCTATTTATCAATCTTTCAATATATATCAATCACTCACTCTCTATCTCTTGATATTTAGTAGCACCGGGGTTGGAAAGTGATGTTTTTATGGTGATTATGGATTGGATAAGTATGGTGGAATTCGTTGAAGAACACTGAGATACAAAACTCGTATACGGAAGAGATTATCTTTGATTTTGTTATTTTTTTTTTTTTTTTTAGAACGCTCGAATAGAAATATGTGATGGTTCGAGTGGACTTTATAGCAATTTATAAGAATAAATTTGCAACGACCTTAGAATTTATAATATTATTTATTAAATGTATGCTCATATATTTTTATATTCTAACAAAGCTAAACAATAACGTTGTTCAATATTAGAAAAATATGAGTAATTTGAGAGTGCAAAATTAGCTCATAACCAATTCAAGATTATTAATATAATAATATTATTATTTATCTGTGAAATTTAAATTTCAATTAATCACAGATTTAGTCTAATTTTTCTTCCTGCACAATAAATATTAATTATAATTGGCAAACACCAAATTAAATTACATCATTTGTTCGTTGGTACAATTTTTAAATGTCACAATTTGGTGGTCACAAGAGGTGCGTATGTATATCTGATAATATCTAGTACCATAATTGTCTTAATTAAGCAACGACGATTGCAAGTAAAATCAACTGTTTCTAGTGCAGATGAAAGAAACTGTTTCTCATAAAGCAACAAAGCATAAATAACTCGTGCATCTCTTATAGAAATTTAATAATATTTTTCAATGAAAAATTGATAGGCCTGCATGCCAGCTGCTAATCTCGCCCTGGACGATGTCAATAAAGAGAAAAATTTACTACCAGGATTCACCCTCAAATTGCACTCCAACGATAGCGAGGTCAGTACTTTGGATTTTATGGTAAAAGACAATTAAATTAAATCATACTGCCCTTATCTCAAAACCAAAAAAAAAAAAAAACAGTGCGAGCCTGGTCTTGGAGCATCCGTCATGTATAACTTGCTCTACAATCCGCCGCAAAAGTTGATGTTATTAGCCGGATGCAGTACAGTTTGCACGACAGTTGCCGAAGCTGCAAAAATGTGGAATCTTGTGGTGGTAAGTACAATTACATTCACATCAACCAAATATAAAAGTTAATTTCATGTGTTTTCGCTTAACATATAAAAGTAAATAAGCAAATTTTTCAGTTTTAATTAAAAATTTAATGTTGTTGCAAAAAAAAAAATAATAATAAATAAAATAAATAAAGAACAAACAGACAAGCAATCGATCATTCATAGCCAGTAATGACAATAGAGTGTTTCAACCTACTATTATTCATAATTCTGGTGCAGCTGTGCTATGGTGCTTCGTCTCCTGCTCTATCGGATCGAAATCGCTTTCCTACTCTCTTCAGAACTCATCCTTCCGCGACTGTGCACAATCCGACGAGAATCAAATTGTTGCAGAAATTTGGTTGGTCCCGGGTTGCCATTTTACAGCAAGCTGAAGAGGTTTTCATTTCGGTAAGTCCCTGGAATCTTATAAGCACAATGAGTTGAACGACACGTGGCTTTAATATTTGTTGTCGATTGTCATTGCTGTCATTACGCTAACAATGGCCCCAATCAGGCAAATCAATTATCATTTCTTTGAATATTAATTGAATGGCTGAAAACGTCGATCGTTGAAACGCCGATCGCGCCGTTGTATCTAGAATGCGCCCGTGAAGCTTACACTTTGTCAAAATTCTCGTTCAAATTGTACTACGATAACAAATAAAAGTAATAAAAATAATAACAAAAATAATAACAATGATAACGACAACAATAACCAAAACAATAACAATAACAATAGCAACAAATGATGATGATGATGATGATGATGATGATGATGATGATGATGATGATGATGATGATGATGATGATGATGATGATGATGATGATGATGATGATGATGATGATGATGATGATGATGATGATGATGATGATGATGATGACGACGACGACGATGATGATTATGATGACGACGATGGTGATATATTCACGCAATACGTAGACGGTCGAGGATTTGGAGGCGCGCTGCAAGGACGCCGGCATTGAAATAGTAACGCGACAGAGTTTCCTGTCCGATCCCTCGGACGCGGTGCGCAATCTCCGTCGTCAGGATGCCCGCATAATCGTCGGTCTCTTCTACGTCGTTGCGGCGCGGCGCGTCCTCTGCGAGATCTACCAGAATGGCCTCTACGGCAAGACGTACGTGTGGTTCTTCATCGGCTGGTACGAGGACAATTGGTTCGAGGTCAATCTGGACAAGGAGGGCATAAGCTGCACGAAGGAGCAAATGCGCCAAGCCGCGGAGGGACATCTGACCACGGAGGCCCTCATGTGGAACCAGAACAATGACACGACTATCAGCGGCATGACATCCGAGGACTTCAGGCAGAGGCTCAATCAGATGCTGAAGAAGCACGGCTACGACATCGACAATAATCGATACCCCGAGGGCTACCAGGAAGCGCCGCTCGCATACGACGCCGTCTGGTCCGTTGCCTTAGGTAATTTTCGCCCTTGACGACCGGGCGTCTCAATCGAGCACCTGCATTTTATAAAGAAAGTTTATGTCCTGAGTGAGGAAATTGTGGGCTTGGTAGTGGGTGAGAGGGATGGGGGTAATTCACTTATGCAATTATATAAAAAGTTAAACTAATTCATTGAAAGATAAGTGTATTTACCAGTTCGAACGCTCGATTCAATTTATCAATTGAAATTAAAAATAATGCAAATCTATCGCGTTTCGGTATTATCAAGAATAATAAAAATCTTTTGAGATTGACATTATTGTAACATCTCATTATAATATAATGAAACTAAATAATGTATATTTGCATAAAAGTCTGGGGATATTTTAACTCGACGAATTTATTATTTATGGTGTGCCATCTTGTCAATTTACTATCCATCAAGTCACGTAATAATTAATCGAGGCATTTGGGTCGTAGAAAACTATATTAGGAGTTATAGGATTTAAGGATTTAAGGAAATGAAATTCTAAATTAAATGAGTTTTTTCTTAATAAAGTATTCGTAAAGTCATGTCGAAAAGTCAGATGAAATTATAATTTGCTTTTAAAGTGTGATAATAAAAATTCCGAGCCTATTAATTCATCGCGCCTGATACATAATGTGAAATACATAATAATAAAGATGCCAATAGTTTTAGCAAATAACAATAACAATAACAATAATAAAAATAAAAATAACAATAACAATAATAATAATAATAATAATAATAATAATAATAATAGTAATAATAATAATAACCGTAACGACGATGATATGACAAAGGATAAGATGTAGCGATAATAGATGCTTATCAATGGCAAAATTAAATTAACCAACCACTCTAGCCTTCAACAAGACTATGGAAAAGCTCGG